GAGTCGCCTCAATCTCACCCTGAGGACAGAGCGGTCTGAGCATCTTGACAGCCAGCTTCTGACGCTCAAATTGGACCGATTGAGTGAGAAATAACAACATTTGCAGTTGGCTTACCATATGGGCTGCTTCTTGAACTGAAGAAGTGGTGTCTTTGATTGGAAATGAAACTTGCGGGTTGGAGAGTCTTGGGGTTCTCAATGACGGAGATGACAGGCCTGGCCTCGAGATCCTGTATAGGACCTCGAGGCCTTGAGGGTATCTCTGCGAAGAGCTCGGAACTTGGTTGCTGGGGTTGTGTGAAAAGAAGTCTTTGTCTTGACGGTGGACAACACAAGGGGTGGAAAGACAAAGAAAATGACAAGGCGCAGCTGTGAAAGGTTTCGTAAGGATTAACGAAGAGCGAATCAAGCGGACAACAGAGTCGCCAAGTACGACCGTTGAGGAGGCGCGTGATGACATGCCTGCTTCACGAACGATGAAAAATTGAAGACAAGAACGACAGCATCGTCTCAGACGGTCGCGCAGTTCGGGACAGCTTTATCAACATGTCTGCTAACGAGTACCTGGAAAGGAACGCTATGATATCAGGTCACTGCACAGCTAGATGTGATGCATCTAACAGAGAGCCTGCCCGCGACAGCAAAGAGGGAGGTCGAATGTAGCGCTGGGCACTTCTAACGACCCGAACGACGAAAGAAAAAAAAGAGGGTTGGAGCAGGCGAGTCGCAATAAACCAGGTCGTGAGTCCTGCAAAGTCCAAGAGAACCGGAATGTATGTGGTGCACGGCCCTCATGCTGAACAGAAAAGCATACATTGTGTCTTGTGGAATGCAATGAGGGAGCGATGAAAAGGAGAACAGAACAACGAAGTCAGAGTCAAGCCAATCACCAATTTCACGCTAGTCCATGAACAGTATGGCGTCAAATGACTTCCCAAGGCCTCACTCTCAATACAATACTCTCCAGCATCGTTTTCATGGTAAATCCGATTATGTTTACCTGTGAAGGCTGCGACATAGGCGCTTACGACTGGGATGGCTCAGAAGTCACAGAAATGGGCAGATTGGGTGCAATGTCAATATATCAAGACCAATCCGTGACCATAGTTGGCAATGACAACATCTCACAATTCCCAGATCTTCAGATTGTACCCTGGCATCACCTTTTCCGCTCGCTCTTCTTCATCTTCGATGGCAAGATATCGTTGACCGGATGAAGTGGCAAGCACACCACCACCATGATGAACGACTGCACTCGAGACAGCGTCTTTGGCAGATGTCAGCATCTGAGTCTGAAGAAGCGAGAAAACTGATCTGCTTACCATCGTGACCTTTGAATTCGAACGTAGGTGCAACAGGACCTTCTTTTTCTTGAGGGTCTTTCCACACTCTAAAGAACCCGTCAAGACCACCAGCCCAGATTTCGTTGCCTCCTTGATCACCAGTGCTGACAAGATCAATGGCCAGGCGTTGATTGGTCATCGCCGCTCGGCCTTCCAGCCATGCCAACAGCTGGCCGGTTTTGCGGATATCATAGAGCATGACGCCATTGCTTTTCCGCTCCGCAATGTAAAGATATCTCCCGCAGGGACTCCAGAGGACCTGCGTAATTCCTCCTCCTCCAATCTGCAAATCAGCACCTGTACCTTTAACAGAGAAGACCCCAACGCAGTCGCCCTGGCCCAAGGAATCGTACAGCCCAACATAGCGACTGTAAGTGCCGGCTGCTAGAAGACCACTGGAGGGTTCAACGCCGAGCGCGGACACAATCCCTCGCATATTGACAGCACCACTGTATTCGGCCGCCTTCCTCCATTTGGGTCCGGTGGATCTCGAAGAAATTGGATCCTGCCCCGGTCGAGATGCATCAAATATTGAGATGAGGGATTCTGAACCGGCAATGATACGATCACCTTGACTGCTGAACATCAGGGCATGGGGACTGATGAACTCCTCAGTCATGGGATTGACAAGAGGATAAGATGCACCCAGATGGCCAGTTAGAGCAGAGTTCAGCCGAATTGGATGATCTTTCATGGATGATAGGATCAGTGTAGTGGAGGGGTCCTGAAGGTTGAAGAATGGGTAGCCGACCACAGCCTTGACGGACTCTGCCGACTGTATGGTGCTATATGGTGACAGCATTCGTGGCTCAGTGGCTTCTTCGAGGAGGTCTACTGGACTACATGCTGGTTAGTAAGTAGTAAATATCATGGTGACATCTACTCACATGACAAAAGTGTCGATACCATTGTCCGAACGGTTGGCAATCAGACAGGTCCCATCTGCGCTCCTATCATTCGTCAGGGATAGAAACCTTGGATACACAGCAATTCTGCACTAACCATTGGACGCTTTTGAAGTAATTCCCAGACGTTGCAAGTTGAGAGGCTCCCGTCGTATCGTCAGAGGGAGTTTGCAAAGTAGTTGCCACACATTTTGGACGAAACATATCCGCTGTCCAATACTCCTGCTGGCTTTGCGGTTAGATTAGGTGAAGTTATTCATGGCGGCACACCCTGTCTATGACAGCAAGTCCGGAGGAGAGCAAGAATTTGAGCCCATGTGAAGATTTACATTCGTATGATAGAGCCATCAGGCCCTTGAAATGGTGATCGGAGGCTATGTGTATAGAACAAATTTGAAGGCAGAAAGAAGAGAATTGACCAGAGAGGGAATTAATGCGCCACCGTAGAGGATATCTGTACTTACTGGCCTACGGTAGTGTAGACTACCCTACCCGCACTTTTCCATCGCGCATCGCGTCTTTCACCTTTCGAGGAATTTTGGCCAAAGCAAATCTCATCGTCGAAGTCAAGTCACTGTTGACACGCCCAACAGTCAACAGATATCATGTCGCTCTTCGGCGCTTCAGCATCAAAGCCTGTCCTAACCTTGGGAGCCAGTACTGCCGCGCCGGCTCCCCTGGGCTTGTAAGTACTACCAATGCAATGCCTTCATGTTGTTTGCAAGTCCTAAGTTGTTCTGTACAGAGGCCAGTCCACAACCGCTCAACAACCAGCAAATGCATCCGCAGCAGCGCCTTCCTCCCAACCGCAGATAGATATTGCCCACCTGCGTTCCACCACAAAGTTCGACCAGCTTACGCCTGACCTACAAAAAGAAATCGAGGCAGTTGACACCCTCATTCTCAATCAGATCAAACTCGCCTCCGAGGTCGCAGATCTCCTTCCAACCGTGGTCGCTGCGGGAGAAATGCTACCCAACAGTGTGGATTTTGTGAGTCAAAAGCTGGATGAGGTCGAAGCTGGGCTTGGGAACGACGCGGAGGCGATTGTGGCAGCAAGGGATGGTGGTGTGAAAAAGAATGAGCTGGAAGCCAAATGTGTTTTCAGGGCCATCGACCGGTTAAAAATGCCCCGGCAATACCAACAGGTTGCGCATGCGCAAAATGAGAACTTAAACGGGAGCGGTGTCTACAGTGGATCAGGTCTCAGCGGGTGGTGGAACAATCCTCAGACGTTGAGAGGGAGTGTCCGGGCAGGGCATGCTCAAGGAGACAAGATCCAACTCCCGGGTGAAGATGCGGAGGAGATACAAGGCCCGAAGAGCTTGATTGAATTATTCAATTCGAGGACCGATGAGATGGAAGACATGATCCAAGGCAATCGACAACTCCTGAGCGAGATTGAGGATTTCGTCCAAGGCCTGGAAGGGAAAGTCGCCGGCAAGGAGAGAGAGTTGAATGATCGCCTCAACTACGGCGATCGGAACGGTGGAACCGTCAGCGAGAAAGACCACCAGATGCAGCTACTGCGCTACGTTTTCGGAGAGGTGCAGAGAAGCCTTTACGATGTGGCTGATAAAGTTGGAGCTGCGAGGGACGAGGTTGCACAGTTGACAATTGGGAGATGATCGAAAGCCTTTGCAGCATCACAACACTGACCCTAAGATGGAGCCCAACGAGATGGAAAGGGCTCTAAGTCCATCGACGGCACAGTCAGATGAGTCGGCCGCAGCACACCACGATTCCTTTCCACGAGTGGTTGCTCATGCATTCCCTTCCCGCGTGCTGAATTATGGTCTCCAGCACCGGGTCGCGTGTCCGCCACTCGATGCGCTTCATTCACCAGACCGTGACTTTCACTACAAAACGGAGTCATGTTTCATCTGGGCTGCAATGAGCTGTGGCTTCAGCGCCCTTTCCAGCGGTGACTTGCGTGTTGCAATATCTGGTCACGAGCCTCGACAGAGCCAGCTACGGCATTCTTCACCGAACGGAGATAACACGTTCGTTGCAGGGTAAAGATAGAGGCCAAGCTGATGGCTGCCATGAGGCATGCGTGGTATGAATTCGCGCGAGGCTGAAGTTCGGCGATCGGACGAGACATGGTCTGTCCCCGCCACGAGATGAGCGGGCACCATAGAGGACGCAAGAGAGGACAATTTCGGATGCCTAGCCTCTGATCATTCCAACAGATTTATTCTCTGCCGTCCTCACTCATGGGTAGAGGTCTACCTATACAAGGGTAGATCCTCCTTCCCAGCGAGGCTAAGCCAATAGGAGTTGCCACGAAGCACGTGCTGAGTTGCCATATTGCCCACTGGCTCAAAGATCATCAACTACATATTCCAGGGGCCATTTCCATTCTTTTTTTCCTTCTGAGGTCGCGGCGTCATGATCCGCTCCATTCATGCGTTGACGTCCCCTGAAAAGTGCTCAAGGTGGAGATATCGATGACTTCATTGCGGCTCCAGTATTCAGGAGAGGATGAGACTGTGATGTCATGCTTGGGATGGGAATTGCCATCTACGCAACGAACGACCACAAAATGACAATAATCACTTCAAGTATGCTTGTAAAATCTTCTGTACTATCAAAGAAAGAAATAAGTACTTTGACTGTGTGACGGAGCCTGCATATTCTACCTCGACAAGTCTCCTGCAACTTCAGTCGCGAAACGAACTACCGTTAGATCTCTTCCTCCAGAACGCTATACCTTTTCTCCTCCAAATCCAAAGAATACTTGTATCAAAAAATGTCTGGCACCTCCAACGTCGGTTCCGGCCAGGTCTATGAGGCCGGTGACCAGCGAGTGCCGCCGGACTCGCAAAAGGGCGGCAGTCAAGCATATGAAGAGGGACAGAAGAATTCTCATCTGGGAAATGATTCGAGTACGTATCTTTTTTCGTTATTTCTTCCTCTTCCACGCGCTCGCTGTGTTTCGACCTTTGCGGTGCTCTATCCGGGTGTCTGCATGTCGGGGAGGGTTCGTTGGTGGTGGTATGGGACCCAGTGTTCGAACAGTAACAGCAAAGGCTGGGGTGTCGGGACGGGTGAGATGGGTATTGTAATGAGTGAGAGGAAGGACGGCTGTCTAAGACTGAGGGAAGGGGGGAGAGAAGGGGGGAGTGTTATGGGTGACTGGTCCGGGTTAGAGCAGGAGACGATTGCCCTGCTCTGCTCTGTATACCCATCTCTGCGAAACCTGTTGCCTCCCTCTTCAGAGCGCTGGCCGTCATCTGCTCTCGTTTCTCACTCCCTCGACCCCAAGTCACGACCAACCGACCAACCGACCACCATGACCACCACGACTACGACCTCTCTCCCCATGCATGATTGATTGACCCTCTATGTTCCTCCCGCTTTCTCTCCCCCCCCCCCTCCTCCATAAGTACCCTGAATCCACAGAACAACATTTACTAACCAACATCCCATTCTTTTTTGCTGCGACAAACAGAAGACAGCCGCTCGATAGCGAACCGCCTGGCCGCGTCGGGCCCGCAAAACACCCAATCCACCTCGGACGACACGTCCAGCTCCGGCAAGTCCAAGAGCGCCGAGACGCGCGCCGGAGAGGTCGACCCGACCGCGCCCGCGAAGATGCACGGCAACCAGCCCAGCCGCGGCGCGCGGATCGACAAGGAGCTGCAGGACGAAGAGGCGGCGATCTTGGCGAAGAAGGACGCCGCGAAGGGCGGGAGTAAGAGCGGTGGGACGGGCGATGCCGTGGGGAAGAAGTGATGTGAGTGTGGCACACACACACACACAGATGGAGGGATAGAGTGAGAGTGAGAGAGGAGGCCTTCTTGAAGGGAAATCCCAGGACTCTACAACATGTGGCACGAATTTCAGGTGTTCCGTGTAACAAGCACCGAGTAAACGAGGTCACATTCAAGTACTCGGTACCTGACATGTGCCAATATCAAAAAATACTGTATAGTTTGGCATATTCGTATAATATGACAAAAAAGTCAAACAGATCACGTCATAAAGGCACATATGAGAGACATTCCCCATCTCGGAGTCTATCCGTAAATTCGTCCACTCGACTCAACAGTTGATCGTCTCTATAGCACCACAACACCATTCTGTAGATAGCTAGCAACCTAGACAGTCCTTCAGACCTCGTCCATCATATCTCAAACCCCAACTCGAACTGGCCCTGGCTGTGGCTGTGGCTGTGGCCAGTGCTGTAGGCCTGGCTGATATTATTTCACATCTACGATTTCGATGGAGAAGACCATCGCCCGGGAGAAGGGTTTGACCACAGAAAGACTAAGCAAATGATTTCCGATATATCAATGTATTGCGATGGCTGGCTGGCTGGCTGGATGTATGTATGGGGGAAAGACAAAATAAAAACCCCACTCCGCCAAAAGAGAAAAGAGAAAAGAAAAAAGACAACGCTGATATCACCAATAGATAGAGCACGCCGGACTTTTGTGTATATATATATATGTGTACGTGCGTCCAAGAAAAAAAAGGCCGAAGCTATACCGTTCCTTCCCAAAATCCCTTTTTTCGTGTTTGCGTTCGTAAGAGACATGTGCTGTCATCACCTCCCCACATAAAATCACTTCTACCTGCGGTGCCTTTCTCGGTCGTGACTTTCCTGCCGGTCCAGCTCGCGGCTCACCAAGGCAACGCACTCGTCCATGACATCCGTACCGATCCTCCACTTCTTCAACACCACGCCTCGCGCATGCATAATCTCCTCGGCCCTCGCCCATCGCCTGCGCCAGATCTCCAGTTTCTTGTCGTATGGCGCATTAGCGCCCGGAGGCGGTGGGATGTAACTCCCATCGCTGGCGGTTGCGAGAGGATCAGAACCGGGATAGCCATAGCCCGTGGCCCATCGCGCGGCCGCCGCTGGGTAAGATGATATTGCCCTTCGTGCAGGCAGGGGCGGATTCTGGCGACTGTCGTTCGTCACGCCGGCTTGATCGGATGATGTAGTGGCGCTGCGGGTAGGCGAGGATGAGCGAATTGCTGGGAGAGCATTATATGCCGAGGATATTTGACGTCGTGCTACCGCCACATAGCCGTCGTCAGCTCGCGAAGAGTTACTAGCAGTGGTGGACGTGCGGGAGACTGAGGGTGTAAAGGATGGTGGGATGGACGTCGAGCTGGTTTGTCTTGTGAGGTCGGAGGGGAATTGAGGCTGGCTTTGATTCTGACGAGGCGAGGAGAACGGCGCTCTTGAAGGAGGCTGTGGCACCGGCTCGCTATTGGAGTGACCAGCATTTGCGTCAGTCGTCCGTCCACTTCGCCGCGGTTTAGGTGGTGGTGGTGGAGGCGACTTCTTCTTCACGGCCTCCTGAGTCTCGGTGTCTGATGACGCTAGTGATCTCTCATGATTGGTGGGTGGCATTAATTGTGAGGTAGAGAAATTCCGTAAACTCGAGGGCTTGTTGGGTTTATTGGGAGCATGGGGTTTGCCGTTTGTGTCAAGCTGGCGCATGTCACCCAAGTGGCTAGGAGGCTTCGGAGAGCCCTTTGTCGCATCCGAATCGTCTGTGAAGTCAATGAGATCTCCCTCTGCGACCTTGGGATCCACCGTCGATCTCAGTCTCTCAGGCAAAGCGGGCCTGTTCTCGGGAGCATCGGTTTTCGCGTCTCCAGGCGATCGTGTGAGCCGTCCGCCATCTCGTGAAACCATGGAATCCGGTGGTGTGTTCGATATTGCCTGATCAAAGAAACCCTTCTTGACTGGTGTCGTCACATCTCTGATGAACACCCCCAACACCCGTCCTGGGTGTTCAAGGACGACATCAGTGTAGACTTCCAGATCTGCCTCTCCACTGTCCCCGACAAGGATAAATTTGCGCTCAGGGAAGTCATTCATGATCCGGTCGAGGGAACCGCGCTTCCGTTCCGCAGCAGGTTCGAATATCCCCTGTAACATTCCAGAATACTGCTTGAGGTGGAACGAGCCCGGCGGCAGTCCTGCTAGGGAGAAATAACTGCGCAGCAATGGATACATCTGCCAGGGAGAATTCGAGACGTAGTGGAACTGAACACCCATAAGAGCCAGTTTTGAGTACCATTCCTTGACGCCTTTGATGGTCAAGTCGCCCAGTTCTCGAATAAAGGCGTTTTTGAAGATCTCTCGCGCACCGCTGCTGATCCCGGAATGCTTGATCGTATCGTCAATGTCGCTGACCAGGCTCACACCCTTGCTCTCGGTCACGATGACATCCTCCACCGCAGACAGCTTATCCGAAGCCAGGACTCGGACTTGGTCAGGCACAAAGTCCAAGGCAGCTCGCAAGTTGAAGTGACCTGACTCATCTGTAGTCACCGACTTCGAAGTCGACTTTGACTGGTTGAAGAAGAAGACCGTAACCGGCACATGTGCAGTTGGCATTGACATGAAAGGCCTGAGCCGTGTCAAAAGCAATTCGTTGGCCGCCGACAACTCGTCTCTGCTCATATTTGCCGGTTCATTCCACGACTGACGTTTCACCGTCGACCGCTGAGCCGGATCTTCGTCCTCAAAATCTGTCGCTGTTGTCATTGATCGTGTTGGCGAGTTCGATCGACTACCGCGAGGGGTTCCGCCGCCTGACGGAGTCAAACTGTAGGTCCCTTTGACCGCCGCATCTGCTTCTCTCTGACCGCGACGGGTGATATTCTCGGCTTCTCTTGCGGCAACTTCATCCTCATAGATGGATGAACTGTCATCCTGCGGTATACGATTGGTGGGAGCTTGGCTTGACGGACGCGAAGTCGCGGGGCTGGGTGTGGGAGCGTAGATGCCGCTGAGTCTCCTCGCGACCGCCACAAGAAGCCGATTCTTCCTATTCAACGGCCCTTGTTGAGGGGAGTAGATCCACCCCCGAACATCGACGTCGACGATGGCGTTTGTGTCTTCGTATTTTTCCCACTCTCGTTTCCAATAGTCCGCGTCTCCGCTGCTGTGCGGCGTTTCCAGAGACTCGTGTGTCCCAGGGGGATATCTCGCCGTGTCATCGTGCCGGCTGTTCCGCTTCGTGTGTGGCCTCGCATAGCTGGGAAATAGAAGCATCTCCTCATTCTCACTTCGCACAACCTCCACATCCGGCCAATCTCTCGACGTCCCCGCCTCGTTGACGCTATCCTGCAGCCTCTGCTGGATCTGCGCCTGGTACGTCTGTCTCAGCTCATTGGCCGCCCTCAGATATCCCTTGACCTTCTCCCTCCTTGCGCCCGGCGCCCGATACCCGCCATAACTTGTCATCTGATCGGTTGCTGAGGTTGATCTCGTTCCCCGCCAACTGTGTCGACCACCAGCATGGTGCGATGGTCCATATATAGCCCTCAGAATACGGCTCTTTCCCAAGCGCCGCCGCAGGAATGAGGCGATACGGCTGTTTCCAGCCCTGCGCCGTAACAGAAAGACAATATCTCGGCTGGCCTCTCTCCTCTCTCTTTTCTTCTGCTGCCTGCGCACAATGGCCCGGTAGATGCTCGACTGAGCTTGCAGGCGGAGCTGGGGGATATATTCGTGACGGAACCCCAAGTATCTTTCACGAGCGCGCCGGTGGGTGTTCGGGAAGAGGTAACGGAGGAGGGAGAAGGCGTTTCGGGACCTCGTCAAGCCGCGGAGTGGAGGAGCCACGATGTGTTGTTCACGGTCGACCAGTGGGGATTATTTCCCCAGGCGCTGAGAGCGGGCACACTAAGGATCTGTAGTTACTCAGAGGGAGAGATGGTGGACTTTATTAGATCAGTGCATGACTGAGGCTCAGCGAGTAACGACTTCCAGGGTTACACGAGGATATAAGTGGCAGTGTACGAGATACAGTTGTGTCCTTTTGGTTGATTGCTGCGGTCTGTGTTTGGGTTGCCGCGCTCGCCGCCTCTCCAAATCTATTACCAAGTACGTCATTCAGCCTTGCGGCTGTGGATCCATCCATATATCAACAATTCCTCAGATCAGAGACTGTCTACATCACATACATCACTCTGTGGTTTGCTTCCAGGATTGATCCTCTGCACTGCACGCCCAAAAGCTGAACACGCGACAAACCCCAAGGTATGTATGGCCAGGAAGCTCCCAGACTAACTGCGGCAGAGCTCAGCCTGCGTTGTCAGCATTGTGCGTCGGCCAAATTTGTGCTTCTCATCCCGAGCCCCAATTTTTTTCAATCACGGCATTGACCCTCTCAACTGTCTTCCGTCCCAAGGCGTCGGCAAACATGACCATGCGCTCATTCGGATGCATCTGGACGAACCTTCTCAACCCCCAATTCTGGTCCAACGTGGTCTGAGGTAGGCCTGCTTTCCTCAATCCTCCAAGGACAACTTGGGCTGCCATAGGATTCAGCCCGGCCATTCTCAAGAATCGCTCCCACAGTGTCTCTTCGTTGATGAGTTTGACAGTGTCTATGTTCGGACGCAGGGTCTGAGACGGATCGGTATCTGGAAAGCCATGGCAGCAAACCAGATTCCAGGTCAACCTACTCAGCGTGTTCTCAATTGATCGAGATCCGTTCCTTGGCCAGACCCAAAGGGGGATCACATGGAGACCATGATGCCTAGAAATATCGGCGCAAAACCCTGCAAAAGTGGTCATTGTGTCGATTTGTGACGGCGACAAGCTGTTCTCGAGCCCCGTCATAGTGATCAGGATGAACAGTTCAGTGTAATTGTGCGCGAGTCCCAAAATCCTGCTTTGAACCATGCCTTGGCCTGCTTGGATCCCCTGTCCAGGCAGACTTTTCTGGTTCAAGGCCTGCATATTTGTGAATATGAGAGCC